ATCCAGATATTGACTAGACTCAGAATCAGTTCACTTAAAGATATAATCACTGGAGCACTAACTCTGGACAGAAGAGCCTCCAATAGCAACAGGTGGACCCATTGTGCGATAAACACCATCAATACATTTGATGTAACAAACACAATCACTGAGAGAGGTGTCGACGATATACATGCAGACTTTGTTATGCAAGCCCCTTGGGAATCTCCGCCAGCAGACTTTAAGATTATAGTTCTTGAAGGGAAAAAAAGAATTAGCAAATCCGCATCTGCTACGTGATATTACACAGATGCATATAGAAGCAAACTTGGCATCTGACAGCTTCACATACTTCACAGATGGATCATTACACCAGCAGGGACAAGAAACCGGAGCTGCAGTTATAGCAGGAAACTCTGTAAATAGTTCAACGGGCTCACTATAGCCCGTGCTACTTGGAACACTTTTTGTTCCAAGTAGCGAATCTTAAACAACAACAACATGTAAATAGTTGGAAACTCTCAAATGGGTGCTTGACTTTACAAACAGAGATGCTAGACATTCAAAAGGCTTTGGTACATGCTTTTGCTGAACACTAACAACATGTTATCATAAATACAGATTCGAGAACAGCCATTGGAACCTTGCAACAAGAACACATACGTGATAACATCCATCTGATCACAAATGTCATATCATTAATGCAAACTACCTCAAACGTCAAGGCCGTTGGGTACTTATCAACTGGGTGCCAAGTCATGTGGGAATAATAGGAAATGACATTGCAGACGAAGCTGCAAAACTTACAACTAAGAGAAGAAATGTAGACATTTACATACCACAGAGTCTATCACAGATTAAGAAAGTAATTAGAAACAGAGCAATGCAAAAGATGTACAGTGGCCACAACACAGCAGTTGCAACATCAGGATCTGCGGGTTGGTACAAGATTTCAACCAACCACTTAGTTTGACGAAAGGGAGCAGTAGAACAACAGAAGTACATTTACATCGCATCAGGTTTTGATACCCATGTGCATGGTAAATAGGCTTACAGGTTCCGGAAAAAGAAATGTCCGCACTGTGGAGAAATGCCCGACAGACCACTGGAACATTATCTAACACAGTGCACAGTTACAAACCAATTAATATTTCAACTTAGATTCAACAGAGCAGAAGTTGTGAAACACATGGGGCCAAGTCTTACTGAAGCGACCATATGAGTCATAAATACTCATACAACGCCCAAGTAAAACAGAAACAAGCAACACTTTTTGGGCCAGCCAGAGGCTTAGGGCCCGCACAGGAATATACCTGCAAAAAAGGGTGTTGACATAAATCACTACCAGGTGTTGTCATAAGTGTGTACTAGGTTTTGTCATAAGTCACTAGCAGGTGTTGTCATACATCACTAGCAGGTGTTGTCATACAACACTACCAGGTGTTGTCATACAACACTACCAGGTGTTGTCATAGATCACTACCAGGTGTTGTCATAAGTCACTACCAGGTGCTGTTATAAGTCACTACCAGGTGTAAGTGAGTCGATAAGAGGATCGACTGGGAAAAAATAAATGTAGACATTGCAACCATTCAATGGGAGATGGTCTTAAGCGACAAAACTCTCACACAGGGAATAGATCAACTGACAGCTGAATCATACAAGGTCTGCCTGAAGCACGTGCCTATGAGGAGAGGCAGAAAGAGGACCACTCTAGAAAGAGAACGGAGACGACTGTACAGGAGAAGGAAAAAAATAACGGAACTGCTTAGGCAGATACGACTGTCACAAGCAAGGAAAATAAACCTAAACAGGGAGATCGTAGAAATAGAACAAACGTTGAAGCGATCATATAAGGCTGAGGAAATGGAATTGGAACAGAAAGCTATACAAAAGATAAAGAAAAATCCAAAATATTTTTTCACATATGCAAAATCAAAATCAAAAACCTCCACCAGTATTGAACCTTTAATTACAACTGAAGGTACGTACACAGAGGACAACAAAGAAATTAGTAAAATTCTAAGAAGCCAGTATGAGGCTATGTTTAGCACACCAATAAACAACATGAAAGTTGATGACCCAGACAGCTTCTTTATGAATGACATTCAAGCTGCTGATAATATAACGGATATTAACACAAACCCGGAAGACTTTGAAAGAGAAATTGACAATATGCCCATGCACTCAGCTCCTGGGCCTGACTCATGGAATATCGTTATTCATAAAGAAATCTAAAGTACCAGTAGCGCGAGCACTCAGCGTAATATGAAGAAAGAGCCTAGATACAGGGGAGATACCAGAAGCACTTAAATCTGCAGATATAGCTCTTTTGCACAAGGGGGGGGGGGTGGAGTAAAGCCTTGGCAAAAAATTATAGGCCAGTTGCACTAACATCACACATAATAAACGTTTTCGAAAGAGTGATTAGGAATCAAATTTCTAGTTTTATGGAAAATAATGAGTTACACAACCCAGGACACTATGGATTTAGAGTGGCAAGATCATGTCTGTCACAGTTACTCAATCACTATGACAAAATCACAGAATCTCTAGAAGAAAAGCAAAATGCAGATGTAGTATACACAGACTTTGCAAAAGCATTCGACAAATGTGATCATGGAGTGATTGCACACAAAATGAGGTCAATGGGAATAACTGGTAAAGTAGAACGCTGGATACTCAATTTCCTGTCGAACAGAACACAAAGAGTAACAGTCAATCAAATAATATCAAGTCCAAGCGCAGTTAAATGCTCTGTACCTCAAGGTACAGTCCACCACTGCTGTTCCTTAATCTCATATCAGATATTTATAAAAATACAAGTCACAGCTTCGTGTCGTCCTTTGCAGACGATACAAAAATCCGCATGAAAATTACCTCTGCTGAAGACATGGAAAAATTACAAGCAGATATCAACAAATTTTTCGATTGGGCAGCAGAAAATAACATGATGTTTAACAGCGATAAATTCCAGGTACTCAGGTACGGCAAAAATGAGGACCTGAAACATAATACAGGGTACAAAACACAATCGAATCTGCCCATAATAGGTAAACATCATGTCAAAGATTAGGGAATAAAGATGTCTGACGATCTAACGTTTAAGGAGCATAACCAAGCAAATATTGCGTCAGCCAGAAAAATGATAGGATGGATTACGAGAACTTTCAAATCCAGGGATCCCATCACAATGGTTGTACTCTTCAAGTAATTTGTGTTGTCCCGTCTAGAGTACTACTCAGTACTCACTTCCCTCTTCAGAGCAGGAGAGATTGCTGAAATTGAGGGAATACAGAAAACATATAAGGCACGCATAGACGCGATAAAGCGCCTAAATTATTGGGATCGTCTCAAAGCTCTCCAAATGTACTCTCTAGAAAGGAGACGAGAGAGATACCAAATAATATACACTTGGAAAATATTGGAAGGCAAGGTCCCTAATCAACACAGTAAAATAACAACCTACTGGAGTGAACGATATGGAAGAAAATGCAAAATAGAACCAGTGAAGAGCAGAGGTGCCATGGGCACAATCAGAGAACACTGTATAAACATCAGAGGTCTGTGGCTGTTCAACGACCTCCCAGCGAGCATCGGAAATATTGCCGGAACAACCGTGGACATCTTCAAGAGAAAACTAGACTGTTTTCTAAAAGACGTTCCGGACCAACTGGGCTGTGGTGGGTATATGGGCCTGCGGGCCGCTCCAAGCAACAGCCTGGTGGACCAAACTCTCACAAGTCAAGCCAGCCCTCGGGCCGGGCTTGGGGAGTAGAAGAACTCCCAGAACCCCATCAACCAGGTAATCAACCAAATGTTGTCATACGTCACTACCAGATGTTGTCAAACGTTACTACCAGATGTTGTCATAAGTCACTACCAGGTGTTGTCATAAGTCACTACCAGGTGTTGTCATAAGTCACTACCAGGTGTTGTTATAAGTGTGAACTAAGGCCGGCCACACACGTGCAGTTTTAACTGACAGTTATGACTGTTCAGTTATAACTGTCACAGTTCAAACTGACGTCAGTTAAAAATGAAATGCACACACACACACACACACAGTTCAATCCCTCAGTTTTACCATGGATTCCGAGGAGTACGATCTTGTCGCTCTTGGTGTATTCTTTGTAATGCTATAAGCAAATAGAAAAAAGAAAACTAAGAAGCGTAAGCAGTGGTGCAAAAAGTGGTTACTAAGGCGAAATCAATGTTCTGATATTAAAGATCCTGATGTGCCATCTCAGACTGCACTCACCGCTACCACCTGTAGAAATGAGAAGTTGAGAACTGTACAGTTACGAATCCCCACACACGCTCAGTTCAGTTACTCCTTTCAGTTAATAATATGGAACATTGCATTTGTCGCAGTTTAACTGTACAGTTCTGTTCAACTGACGAAATGAGCAACTGAGATACCCACACACGTGCATTTTTAACTGACAGTTTTAACTGAACAGTTATAACTGTCAGTTAAAACTGCACGTGTGTGGCCAGCTTAAGTGTTGCAACACATTCCAATCAGTTGAACCCTTCCAGATGTTGCCAGAAGTCCCTACATGGTGTGGCCAGAAGATTTTGCGACGTGTCCATGTTTTGTGCAGGTGCGTGTGTGCGTATATCTCCTTTCCAAAAAAATGATTGTTGAGTAAAATAATATATGTAAGACTCTCCTGGACAAACATATTAATAATTACAAAGGAAGTGAAGACAAAGAAAATGCAAAAAATAACAATAATTCAATTTGTTACGGTGGCTGTGTTGATGGTGGCCGCGTGCGTGACCCAGTGCCTGGAGGCCTGGGAGAACGCCAGACACCTGCAGCGTCTCCAGCAGCAGCTGCAGCACCTGCACCATGATTACAAGTGGTGGGGGAGCCGCGCCCCCCGCTCCACACCCCCTTCTGTTGATGGCATATGCCTCGCCCTGCTCAAGCGGGGGTGTAAGGTGACAGTGTTCACTATAGCTTGCTGCCTCTTCCTCCAGGTCCTCGGTGGCTTCTTTACTTGGCTGGCTAGCCTTTACTGGCCCCGGGTGGCGGAGGTGGCCCCCTGGAGGAAAAAGGTGACGGTGGCTCCTTGGAGAAGGACGGCGGCGGAGGCCCCCTGGAGGATAGGGGCGGTGGCCCCCTGAAGAAAGGTGACGGTGGCCCTTTGGAGAAAGGTGACGGAGGCCCTCTGGAGGAAGATGACGGTGGCCCTCTGGAGGAAAGTGACGGTGGCCCTTTGGAGGAAGGTGACGGAGGCCTCCTGAAGAAAGGTGACGGTGGCCCTTTGGAGGAAGGTGACGGAGGCCCTCTGGAGGAAGATGACGGTGGCCCTCTGGAGGAAAGTGACGGTGGCCCTCTGGAGGAAGGAGACGGTGGCCCCCAGGAGGAAGGCGACGGTGGTCCCCTGGAGGAAGGTCCCCTAGAGGTGGGCGGCGGCGGAGGTTTCCTAGAGGTGGGCGGCAGCGGAGGTCCCCAGGCCCTCAGTGAAAAGGTGTTCCCCCGGCTCCGGTTGACGCTGCACCCCGGGCACTCTGGGAATAAGGGTTCATCGGACCCTCTGGAAGAAGGTGACCGTGGCCCTCTGGAGGAAAGTGACAGTGGCCCTCTGGAGGAAAGTGACAGTGGCCCTCTGGAGGAAAGCTACGGTGGTCCCCTGGAGGAAGGTGACTGTGACCCCTGGGGGGAAGGTGACTGTGACCCCTGGGGGGAAGGTGACTGTGACCCCCTGGAGGAAGGTGACTGTGACTCCGTGGAGGAAGGTGACTGTGGCCCCCTAGAGGTGGGCGGCGGCGGTGGTCCCCAGGCCCGCAGTGAAAAGGAGTTCCCACGGCCCCGGCTGACGCTGTTCCCCCGGCTCCGGTTGACGCTGCACCCCGGGCACTCTGGGAATAAGGGTTCATCGGACCCAGACTGAAGGTGTTCTCCTGGCACCCAGGGTATAGGGGTTAGCCTGGTCAAGGACGACGGTGTTTCCCTGCCCCCAGACACCCAGGGTATTTAGGCTCCCCTGGCCCAGAGTGCAGGTGTTCCCCTGGCCCAGAGTGCAGGTGTTCCCCTGACCCAGAGTAGATGTGTTCCCCTGGCCCAGAGTGCAGGTGTTCCCCTGACCCAGAGTAGATGTGTTCCCCTGACCCAGAGTAGATGTGTTCCCCTGACCCAGAGTAGATGTGTTCCCCTGGCCCAGAGTGCAGGTGTTCCCCTGGCCCAGAGTATATGTGTTCCCCTGGCCCAGAGTAGATGTGTTCCCCTGGCCCAGAGTAGATGTGCTCCCCTGGCCCAGAGTAGATGTGCTCCCCTGGCCCAGAGTAGAGGTGTTCCCCTGGCCCAGAGTAGAGGTGTTCCCCTTGCCCAGAGTAGAGGTGTTCCCCTGGCCCAGAGTAGAGGTGTTCCCCTGGCCCAGAGTAGAGGTGTTCCCCTGGCCCAGAGTAGAGGTGTTCCCCTGGCCCAGAGTAGAGGTGTTCCCCTGGCCCAGAGTAGAGGTGTTCCCCTGGCCCAGAGTAGAGGTGTTCTCAGAAGCTTTGTGTTTGTATGTGTCCTCACTCAGCAAGCTTTTTTTATGAATGTGTGTGTTTTTGTCTGTGTGTGCATGTATGTATTTGAAAGTAGGAAGTACAGTTCCCACTCATTGGCCCAATATGCCAGTGAAAGTGTCATATTTCTCGGTTGCTTGACTCTATTATGGTTGAGGAAACTATTATGGTTTGAGTTTGGTGTCTTCAAAAGATGGCACCAAACCGGGGACACTACAACATTATTTCGGTTGAAAGAAAATTTATTAGCTTTTCTGCAATATTTATAATTTCTTATCCCAATCATCCATGATAACATGGTATAATGTGGTATACCAGTTTACATGGCCTAGTGAAGGATGACACCTTCGATATACTTATATTGGTGTGACCACCACAAAGCTTTCGAGAAGGCTGACCTGCTATCTACAAGCTGGTGCCCCTAGAAACCATATACAAAGTGTATTTAACACAACACTCACTAGGAACATGTAAGTACATAATACAACAATCCTGGCATCCATCACTTACCAGAGAAGACTGCAATCTATACTTATAAAAGAAAAAACTCAACCCATAATAAACAGAGTAACGACTTTGATACCTTGCCTACGCTCAGACCCAGACCTCACTATACAGCATCGGATTACATTTCTAACGAGTTCCTTGACCACCGCTTTACTCAGTGTTTGAATGGCATCCATCCCCATTATTCCTGTATTTCTTCAACTCTGTGTGATTATTTCACTTTACCCCCCACACAAGTTCATCTCTTTCATATGTATATTTAAGATAAATTTGCACCTTAAATATTAGTTCCTTACCAGAAGATGTTCGCGAGTGGAACGAAACTTTACAGAAAATATGATATATTTAATTTATTATATTTTAAAAAATATATTATAATATAAAAAATATATAAGTCCCTCTAATAATAACTAAAGTTTCTTTACCATGAATTTCGGTAACTTGCAGACGTTGAGTCACAATAACATGGCTGAAGATATGATGACCAAAGCACACACCAGACGATGACGTTTCGGTCCGTCCTGGACCATTATCAAGTCGATTATCTTAATGTATTTGTAACTTGATTTCAATTTCGGTAACTTGTTTTCTCTTCTTAATCCCAAGAGTTAGAAGCATGGAAAGCTTGTTAATGAGATGGGTCTTAGATTTTCTGGGTTTTTGGGTTTTGGAAATAATTGCACTGTTCCAAGAGAGTGGTCGAGTTCTTGTCACCCATACTCCGTTGATGAGATTCAAGAAGGCTTCTTCACCCTTTTCTCCTAGCTGGGCTAGCATGTAAGTGATTTTGTCCCCACCTGGAGCAGTGTTTTTAGTTTTCTTAGTAGGTCTTCTGAGTTCTATCAGACTGAAAGGCTGGTCTAGTTTGTCAGGTAAGGCTAAAGCATCGTCTATTTTTTTTCATCTTGCTGCTTGAAGTCTTTGTTGGTGAGTCAGAGTTGCTTGAGGCAGTTGAGTGGAACTGGCTCTTGAAGCAAATAGATTTGCTAATCTTTCTGCTTCTTGCTCTGGATGAACAGGATGCGGCGGAACAGAAGGCGATTTCTCTTGGGGCCGGATTCAGGAAGGTACTTACGAAGGTTTTTCCTCTTAGCTAAGAGCGTTTTCCGTCTTAGCGCCTTCGTGGCGGCTACGTCCGTATTCAATTAACTACCCTAAGTGGAAAAACCTTCGTAAGTTCATTCCGGGATTTAAGTGTGGTTTCGACCACTCGTAGCTTTACGTAAACTGGATATAAGTCATTTTTTCTCTACTACATAACACTGGGATCGATTTATGATATTGGAACATGACCAAAATATTATAGCTGGTGAATCTAGTGAAGAGGAGTCCTTCGTGTTAGTTATATATGCATTCTCTGCTTGAAACTTGAAGTAAATATGTGTTTGATGATAGTAGAATTAGTTTTATAATAGCAAGATATTATACCAGTAGTTATTAAGTAAATAAACACTGGTGAACATGAAATATGAGAGAAGGTGATGAGCCCTGCCTGATGGGATCATTTACTATCACCAAATGCCCCTGTTCACCTAGTAGTAAGGGTGTACCTTAGCTATACATACCCATTTCTAATTTATTTAGTTTGGTTTTATTTTGAAATTAAATCTGGGTGAGACATAAAATAAAAATATGCTGCACAAATGATGTTAGGTAAGGAAAAGGGTAAAAATGTCAAAAACTTTATTCATTGAATACTTAAAGCTATAATTATGACTATATAGATTATTAAAAAAGAGAGAGGGAAGTAGGGGTCCAAGACCTCTTCCTGTTATACAATTTGGGTGTGGAACAAGTAATTATCAAAAGAAGGCACCATGCCGGGAAGGCTATGTAGCAGTAAGGCAGTGAGGTGAGGCAGCTACTTATTTGAGAAATGCTTATTTTATTTACCTTATAAGCTGAGGCAACTTATTTTATTTGAGGAATACTCAGCTGATTCCTCTACATTTAGCATGGAACAAATTTGTGTCCAAGACCTCTTCCTGTTACTCAATTTGGCTGTGTGTAACCAAACTAGAAGTGCTCTACAAATCAAGGGACCCAGAATGTGGAATGACCTCCCGAATCATGTCAAAGGCTGTACCTCTCTCAACCAGTTTAAGAGTTAAACCAAGTACTGCCTAATTAACTCCATGTAACCTAACTTACCTCCTAAATGTCAACCCATGTCTTGCTATTTTTTAAACAACGCTGTTCACCAACATGTGCAATTGCTGATTTATGCTATGTTAACCCCCTTTTTGTATTTTTTATTCCTTCTTTCAACACAATTTATACCTAATCCCGATTACTATTAAGTTTTAGTCTGTGTTTTTTTCCCCCCACACCTTGCCCGAAATGCTATGAGTATTAGTGGCTTTAGGTATTGTATGTACTAGCTCTGCCTATAAATCCAACATTATGTTTGTAAATCAACTGTATGTACTTTTCCTGAATAAAATGTATTTATTATTTATTTTTTAATCAGTAAGTATTAAAAGAAGGCACCAAGCTGGGAAGGCTATGTAGCACCATTGTGTGTAACAATAAACCAAATTTTTTTTAACAAATAATGCACCTGTATGGGAAAACAAATCCTGTCAGCTGTAAAAATATTGATGCAGTTATTTAAATGAAAAATATAATGAAAGAAATATTACTGGTTTATTTTTATCCTATCTTTTTGTACTGTACAGTATATCCAAGGAAGTGAAAAATTGAGACATAATGCACAATTTAATGAATGATTAGCATGGATTAGCAGTTCAAAAGAAATATGACTTGTATTACATATCAACATGAGATCTTAATGATCCATGGTCAACATGATTTAATAAGGATAATACAGTACTGTATTTGTAATAATACAAACTATAATTTAAAATCTTTATTACTGATTTTTTTTATTAAGAAGATTAGGTATACACAGCAATGTGCTGCTACCCTATTCTATATGGAATATTACACAGTGTAGATAAAAAACTAGCTATAAGTTTATCTAATACTCCCATCTCACAGGATGGTTAGACATACTGTACATGGAATCAATTTAGAAAATACCAGCCTCAATACAAAAAACAAATCAACTCTGACTAAACAACTCTAAGCAATTTTCACAAGAGGTAAGCACTGAATCATGGAAACATTATATTATAATTACTCTTACCAGTTTCTACAAAACTCCTCTCAAACAATGTATTTTTAAACATGTTTAGGTATACACAGCAATGTGCTGCTTCCCTATTCTGTATAAAGGACCACACAGTGTAGATCAAAAACCAGCTACAAGCTCACCCAACATCCTCACCTCACAGGATGGCCAGTCATACATGGAATTAGGAGAGAACAAAATACTTAATGCTGATCTATTAGCCTCCACTGGCAAAATCTGGGTGCAGCACAAGAATATCTTCCAATATTCCTGAGTGTATGAAGTAATTACAGAGCTCAAAATACCTCATACCATTTGGTATGAAGTCACTGATAACAGGACAATCACAGATATAGTGTTGGAGAGTATGTTCTCTCAAGTAGGACTGAAAACAGATGTTTTTTTTTCCACCAAGAGGGCTATAAACCCATGGAACCGCCTACCCGCTGAAGCCGTAAATGCCAAATTCCAGCTAAAAAATATCATTAAGACAATTGGCGGGCCCTTTAACAAGCCGCCGGCTTTCTGTCCTCTTCGAGGTCACTAGATAGTTAGTGGCCCTTGGGTAAATTCAGTAAATATATACAATAATTGTCAGCGCATCTTCCGAGCAACAAGGACAGCTACACAGTATCTCTTAGAATTACGTAGGTAAACAACAAATGTAACATATTTGTTTACTACAATGTCGGTGCTGGCTGTAGAAGTTGAAAAAACATTGTTTTACTTCGAAATATACTAATT